TGCTGATTGGCATAGGGATGGGAGAGCTAGTCGCAGTGCGAAGTGTATTAATATCATCGACATCGCGCCGAATTCCACGGTCGTAGATAGGCCTGTGGGTGAACGCGTGAGTTTATGTGCAAAGGCATCGTGGGCAGTGAGAAAGATGACGTTTGCTGTATTTCGGTGCTCTAGGCACTGATTCGTTAGTCTCTGTCTCGCGTGAAACCCCTCAAGTTGACGCGAGAAGTGAATGTTCGATCGCAATGAGGATAGGTTAGGGTGGAGTTACCGTTCCCGGTCGTTGAAGGGGCCCCCACAGTGCTCAGATCAGTGACCGTATTGAAGGAGGCAATAGCCATCGTCATTGCAGTGGTTGTGTAGAGGACGATAGGGATTGTGATGTTCAATGGCGGAAGGACACCTGGGTCGTGATCAACGACAATGAGGTAGGTTGTCGCTTTCAAATAGCATAATGCAGCCAACACCCCAGCTTCTGCTGACCATTTTTAGATAATTCTGTCTGGTTGCAAATAGAAATATCTACCTTGTGGTGCACCACTTTTCGTTTGCTCGGGACCGTTTATCCCTGCGAATATTTTAAAAGATAGCATACAGTCAAGGCTGCGCTACGGCAAGTGGAAGGACAAGGTGGTCAAAGGGTTGTCCCTGAATGTGCCTGTTTAGATACCCCAGACGTCTGTCGATTCGCCCTAAATGTCAGCACATTTCTGGCTATGAGGTGGGCATTTTTAAAAATTGGGAATCCATGAGACTGCATGTAGCCCTTTGGATAGGATGTAAGGTTATGAAGGCAGTTGAAGGGAAAAGATTACGACTAGAATGGACAGCAAAGCAGACAACAAATCCGACGCATAAGCATCACCATCATCATCAGCATCACCGCCACCGACAAAACCACGACCACCACCAGTATTATCTAGGAACAGTCTCCGAATTTTTTAAGTACGAGTTCGGATTTCAGCATTCGATTACGACGAGGTCCACGGTGCGCGCCACCAGAGGCATGCCATTGTGGCTGAATTATGTCCCTCCTTCGAGTACAAAAATAAAAGAAGATGTAATTTGCTACCGAATGATCACAAGAATGAGTATTTTTATGCATGCTTCCAGGAAATATAATTGGACTCTTAGGGGCATCAAAAATAATTGAGAAAAATGCATGCTACATATGTAGTCACTTATTGCATAGTGTAATTTTAGCATCCAGCTGGAAGAATGTTCATTCCAAAGCCGGCATCCTGAGGTAACTAAAATATCATAGAATTACGTTGCAGGCCGACCAAATTTACAACCCTACATAGTTAATCTTTTCGAAACGAAAACGCATTTCGGAATTTTGGTCGACATTTCATAGATTTAGCCTACCTAGTATATGTACGTGTTAAAAAATCCAAAGTAAATTGGCGGGACGATGGTGTAAGCAAGACATCTCAATTGAAGTAAAGTGTTCTTATTTGGTTATTTTGCTCTGAATATTGTAAACCATCAGCCAGAGCAAACAGAAAAACTGCATCATCGCATCCTGTTCGACGTTCGAAAATTAAAAAAACATTGAAAGTTGTTAATTAGAGGGGGATTTCGGAGTACTGTCAGGCCGGGAGACAACTTCCAGGGGTGCTAATCTTCCAATTCAAACACCAAATGCGGCTACAATTCAGGAAACAGAGCATGGACAGCTATGCGTTCCAGTGTGCATGATGCAGAAAGCGGAAGCATTTAGAACCGAGCAGGTGTTTGAGAAGGGCGGATTAGAAATAGGAACAATCGTTAATCGCTTACTGGCATCTTCTCAAGGAACAATGCTCACTAAGTGTGAAGAAGGTGTTGCCGTGGTTCGGACCTCAGAGGCATGTGAGTAGAGGAAGCCTGTGGATTCTTCCTGTCGCATGGAGCGAAAGCCCACGCAATGCAGCAGCAGCCGGCACCTCCTAAGCAAGGGAATGTTAACGTAAACGATTCATCGCCGGGCTGTGAATGAATGTCAATTCACAAAGTACGTTCTAGTCAACTGCCTTCAAATTCATTTAACCTAAAGTTGGTTATATAAACGTTGAATGCAAGGAAGTGTTTATATGCGCCTCAGTACATGGCGAGATCTGGGATGTCGCAATCGCTTCTTGACCGTCTGAGCTAATACCAAGGGATGCTCAAATTTCCTGATCTTATTTCACGTCAAGTAAGTGCGGAATGCAAGGCAGTATCCGCATGCGCCTGACACCGGTAAGGAAAAGAAGTGTTACGATCACTCATCTTTCTGTGATCCGAAATCAAAGAAGTTTGGGCTGAGTGCACATAAGTTTTTGCACTCGTCGCGGTACATTGAGGATTCTGAGACGGTACGCTCGCTCCTCGATTCTACGACTTAAACACAACGCAAGTAAATACATCATGCAGGAAAGTATCCGCATTCGCAGTAATACAGGCCGGGAAGCAAAGTGTTACAATTGCTTTTTGACTCTCTGAAATAGGCTGAAGTTAGTACTTAAAGGTGGTATCTGCACTGGCCTCGTTACATCGAGCGTCCGATAAACAATTAAGGGTCGGACAATTGTATGTAGCCTGGACTATGCATCAGTAGCAGCATCACCTTCTCTACCAATTTAACACCTCTCAAACTATCCTGCCCACCCCATGGCTGCACTTTGACCTAAGTCATCTGACTAGCCACTGCATTTTGAACCCACCGTACGAAGACTGGTCCACAAAAGTATCAAGCCCCGACATCCTGTAGCCCATCCACCTCCACATATCACATTGATCGAACATTATCGTTCACTGCATGGAACGTTTTGGTCATAGGCGTCTTCGAGTAGCCGTTGGGAAAATCACCGCAAACTTAAATACATCACCAGACTTTCCGCTCATCAACACCCCATGTGACTACACATACTCTCTTCAGCGGACCTTTCTGGAAGCTGCATTCGAAGTACTTCCGAACTCATAGAAATGCACAAATTGCCGACGGTTCAGCAGGGCAATAATCAGTCTCCCAGCGCTTTAATACTGACAAAGTGACAGTCAATAGTGATAAATAGGAATTAATTGTACGGTTAATGATTCGTTTCTTACTGATGTCGCTGCTGCATTAGAGGATGAATTCAGAAATTAGGGGAATGATCACTTTGCCATAGCCAAATTATCTCGTCTAATCCTCCGTGCCATGACATAAGCGTGTCTGGCCTTAGCCTCACATTGTCAAACTCAAAAGGCGGTGACAGTGAAAGCGGTCGTATAAGTAAGCCCAAACCGATGGTCGAGGTGATACGGGAACCATGTATGTAGGATGTTTTAGGGAGGGTGCAGAGTGAAAATGCTGAAGTAATGACAGTAATACCTTCAAAATAAAACGCTAGAGACAGAGAGCCCATAAGACACAAAGTAACGTGGGACTTCCGTAAGAACGATCAGAGAGCGCCCCCTAAATCTTAAAAAACTATTTAATACCTGAAGCATACGTTACCTCAAATTCTATACAGTAACCCAACCGCCAGCATCAACGAAACCACCACAGGCACCACAAACACCAACAAATCCAGCAGCACCACCACCAACAAAAACACTACCACCACCACCCACCCACCCACACAAACACCACCAACAAATCCGCCACCACCAACGAAAATATCATCATCATCATCATCATCATCATCATCATCATCCTCATCATCATCATCATCATCATCATGAATATGTTTAGCAATCCAATTAATGCGTTGACATGTTGCAGTCTGTAGGCAGGTTCTGGGCTGAGCAATATACACACAAGCATTGTTAGCACCTAATATCTGCGGGTAACCGTCATCGAATTGATGAAGCACGAGTTGGCAGTTCGGCGCACGATTACGACGATGTCCACGTTGCGCGCCACCACAGGCTTGCCATTGCGGCCGTGGCATACTCAAGCCCCAACTTCCGCCGTTTTATCATCTGCCTCCGTACACTCACTCTTCCCCCCCTTCGTTCGCTTCAACATTCATCACCTTGTCCTTTTCCTCCTAAACCTAATCATAAATTGTTTTCAGCCAGTGTGTATCCCTAAGGGCAAGGCCTTTCTGCTGAATGATCCGACCAAAACCTTTATAGACCAAATGGCTGATCCATCTTATGCCATGAACAATATCCTGTCCAGAAACGATGTTTTCAACATAAATCATGTATCTCTCCCTCTATCCTTCCGCACTATTTCAATCTTCAATCCCGCGCAGCTATTAGGCGCCCTATTCAGCAGTGTAATTTTCAAAGTCCAATTGGGAATTCAATTAGCCATAGTGATCGAGGATAATAAAATGTTAACCATTGTTCCATGTCTACAGCAGTCTTTCCCATTAAATACGCCTACAGCCTGACGCATCGCCAAGCCGCCGCTGCTCTGCCCTTCGTCTCAATACAAGCAAACGCTTCACACAGCGTGAACCAAGTGATGAGATTTGAGAAAGCAAAGGTCTCCTTTGGATCAGAAACTTCATAAACAACCGAACTTAGCCTCGCGCATGCACGTGCACACATTCGACCGCCACGCTGCCATCTTGGCACTTGAACGAAGACTTGCACAAGATCGATAACCCTCAGCCATTCGAATTCACCTCAGTCAGTAATTATGACGCTACAAACGCTGCGCGGTCTATGCCTGGAAATTCTTGTCATACGCGTATTTGTTCAAATCATTTGTGAGATGATTTCAAATCCCTGGATTTTTTGCGTCCCGAATGTTATGTTTTACCTGTTGATTGGTAAGTGCTGGCATTAAATCCCTTCATGCACCTCGTGACATCGTTTAAATCACTGCTCACTGCAATGCAGTCTTTCATCTTTGCGATTTCTCCAGGCTTAAAATATTTATCCGAGTATACGCAAACAGGATTCTAGTCTAACGGACACATCACATCTTTTTACTTGTAGGCATCGTCCTTTCTACCCCATCCTTGTTCCTTGTTATGTTTTCGTTGTCCCATCTGCATGAAGTGTATCTTTGCTGGACGAAGCTCTGTGGAGGGAAGATGTCTCGTCTCCTTGAAAATCCTTTCAGCAATGTGCGCGTAACGAATGATTGCAGAGGTCGGCAGTATAATGTTCTACCATCGGCGGATGATATCGAGTCGGTAGCCTTCAGGAATGCGGCATGTGGCGACGCGGAGCAGGAGGAGGAGGAGAAGGAGGAGGAAGCAGCAGCTGGATTTGGGGGAGGAATAGAGAGTGGCTTGGTACGAGAGGATGAGACGGAGCAGTCAGGTCACAGTAAGTGCATTAACTACTTGCACTGCCCATTCTGACCGTTGCACAGCCGTTACCTACTACTTAAAGGCGCCTTCTTTACTTTGCAATAGACAACATCACGCAGCACCCTAAACCGCATTTAAGAAAGCTCAAGTTTGTTCCAGAACTCGAGGGAATCGAGGAGGTTTCGGAGGAGGATGAGCAGGAGGAGCAGGATTGTGAGGAGGAGGGGAAGGAGGAGGAGGAGGAGGATGAGGACGCCAGCACTAATGACAATAACGGCGTAAAACCGGAAGTGAAGGAGGGGGGCCAGCAGCAGCAGCAGTACCAGCAGCAGAATATGCACGCTGACGGAGACGCGGACTGTCTTCCTGTCGTCTCAGAAGTGACTATTGCAAACTGCCAGGCCTGTGCAGTAGTGGCAAACAGAGAAGGGATTCAAATGAGAATGCCCGTGTCATCTGCCGGCAGGCGACGTCCTCCACGATGGAGGTCCGTTGACATGTCGTCGCGTATGTCTACAACCACTTTATTGCCATTTTATTTCTTTAGTCCTTCATCTCCCCTATGGCATACCTAGCTCTCTTTTCCTTCACTCTTCTCATGTTAGATGCCTATACGTTGCTCGACCGCCGAGAACGAAAGCCCATCCGCCGACGATTGGGTTACCTATGGCGGAAATTCGTTTGCTGCGGCAATTTGCCAGCCAGCGCATAGAAGATATCCCTATTATCCCTGCATACAGGTGATATTTTTCTGCTTATCCATGATGTTTGTGCATATTCCTGATTGCTATATTTGTCCAATAAAACATGTTACTGCATTCTATCAGTTCTTCGCTTAAAAGTTTGGGCGGGTGCATTTCAAATGTAGGGAGATGAAAGTGTGTGCGGTCTTGAATGTTTGGCAGCTCTATTTACATATGGTTTTTTTGTGAAATGGGCAGCAATAGCGACAGAACTAAGGGAAGTCTTTTGAGGGCGTGGGAGTAACGCACTCTCTATCATGTGAGAAGCATTCCGACTGCATTGCAATGCACGACGCAGTTCTATGTGAATTGTAGTTCGCGGCTAGCTGGTGGGCCATAACCGCAAAAAATCTCAGGACAACTACATCAGGCATCTCGTGGCCATTCCACCCTACTGACACCGTGCGTTCTGCTTCATGTCATATAGATGAGAGAGGAGAATTTCGTGCTGCTTGAAGATTTGCGGCTAGATGATCGTCTTTGAGCAGAGAGCCAGCCCGAATAAATTTATATTTGTCAGTTGGCTGACGATGCACATTTTGCGTGAGATATGGTCCTTCTGTTCCAGTGTACCGTCAAATAGCGGCACGACTTCACGGGTTTGGCGAAAACCATGTGTATGAGAGCATACTACGCGTGAGGTGCATGATACGTCATTTCTTTGCGGTCAACTGGCCGCCCAATTTTATTGAGGCAATTTTCTTTCACAACGTTGGCATATAAGTAAGGTATGTGTGACCGAATACGTGCACATATGTAGTCCCGGCTGTGCTGATTTTAGGCGCAGCGAGTTAAATTTGCATGGAATATTTTTTTGGAAAAATTTTTCTGATGCAATACGAAATCTGTGGGCGATTGGTTGGATGGAACTGTAAATTCAGTGGGCAAACATTTAGATCTGGATGGTAGGGGGCGCTCAGCGACAGTTCATACTGAACTCACTCGTTCCGTTTTGCCTTATAGGCTGTCTCGACCCCAACCAGCAACCGCAGTGCAGCGCATGATATAAGACGTGGGAGTCTGAAATGGCAATTTTTTTCTTAGTAGCCGTCATCAGCCTGTCATAATCAACGCCGGAGTGTAAACCACCTAATACTCCATCTCGCGACGTGATAGCTAAACATCTACGTCTTCAACCACTGCGCCATGAGATAAATCTGTTATATGACATGTATGGTAGGACATCAGTTGTAGAATCAGGCAGCAGTAGTTTGTATACAATATCTTATTCCTTTGCGTGTGAAGCAGCGGATTGGAATAAAATATGAGATCACTCTGTATGTTAGGTAGCGGAACACGCAATGATAATTATACTGACGAGGATAAGGCTGAAGACGATTGTCCAGACGGACGAGAGACATCCATGCTCTTAGCCTGGTCCATTAGAATTTATACGCCTTGTTACCTTTCTGCAATTGATGAATTTTGGGTAAAATATTTTGTATTTTTTGTAAATTTTCACATTACCCACAGCATCTTTTTCTCCTCACACTCCTGGGTACTTTGTCTCCAGGGGGAACAGGAAAGCGTAGGTTCCCTAGTCAAATGCTGTGCATCCATGCCGTCTGCATGCTGGCCGTGGCCGCACACGCAAAACTAACGTCCAAAAGAACGAAAGAGGGAACAATTCTCCGTTTGTTCCTCCTTCTCCTCCCTCTCTTCACCGCTTTTATCTTTCCGGTGGGCTGCTCTTCCGATTGTCTAAAATGCAGCAAACATTCCAGGCTGCCAGTGTGTGCGAAGTCACCCTGCAAGGCCCGCGATTCATGGGCGTGTTTCCACGATGAGAATGGAGTCCTCACTGGATTTTTTGGCAGAAGTTCTTCATTTAGGGTTTTGTTCAGAAGGATGCGATTAAAGATTTTCCCTGCGATGTTCAGGAAGGAGATTCCTCGATGATTGTCGCAGAGTTGACGGTTTCCTTTACGATTGTATAGATGCATGATTGTGATATCCTTGACGCCCGCTGTTTCTCTTTCACTTTCTTTTGTTGGAAGTGACAGGAAGTGGAAGAGAGTGATGGTGGTTGTTTCTGTCTCAATTTTTTCGATCGTGTGCATTTGTCTGCGGCCACGTCCAGCCTACACACAGCGTGCCTACCAAGAAACTGTAGGGCACAATTTCTAGTTAGTTCCCACTGTTGGGCAGTTAGCGCACTCCCTAAATATGGCTGCCCGGTTATCCCCAGACGGCTGCGGAACTCTACTTTTGTCCACGGTGTTGCGTTAATTAGCGAAGGACCCGAATTAGCCTTGTAGGTTTGTGGGCAGTAGGGGGCTAAAAGAGAGGATACAACCGACAGAACGCTATATGAGTTACAGTTAGGATGGACGAGCAGATGTAGCAAGCAGGCGGTAACAGGAGTAAGCGAGGCGACACGCGAAGTCTAGCACAATGACAGTAAGCTATTAGTAAGGACAGGTACAAACAAACAAATAAGCAGACATGGGACAGGCAACAAGGGCAGTATACGACATGTAAGAATAAGAGGCAAAGTAAGGAGACAGAGCAACGTCCACTAACTCGAGTGCTCGCTTACCTTGTGGCGTCCTGCAATGGTTCAGACGGAGTCCCGTATTGACGAGGCTGACGCGAATATCCATCCGACCATCGAAATCCACATCATCATGCGCGCAGGCGCACGCACGGATACCCTTACCTGGTCTAGCCGTCCGGCCGAGGCGGTTACCGGGGTTTGGCCGCAAGGTAGAACCTAGCTTCGGGGAGCCACCCGTGAGAGTTTGGTACCAGCAGATGAAGGCTGGGCGTAGTCTGTGCCTGCAAGCAAGTGAGCGAGCTACTACGTGAGCCCACAGTTGGAAACCCCTCATCCCACCCGCCACACATACCCACAAACACATACGTAATATTTCGACCGTCGATTTCGACAATGTCCATCCTGTGCCCCACAACAGCAGCGGTAGGAGTGGGGACGGCGACTTGCGCAGGGGTTTATGGTTCCAGTAGTATTACGCTGCATCTGCCTACACACTCTCTTCTCCTTCTCCCAGCAGCACCACCACCACCACGGCCAACACCATCAACACCGACACAATCACCACCTGTTTACACGTTTATATTTGCCAATATAAGCGAAGAGACGAGTCCTAGGCAGTAGTCTTGAAGAAGGAGACACGATCGTCGGGACAAGAGCTTTATTAGCCTGACGTTTCGTATTCCCACTCGAATCCATCATCAGAGACAAAAAAGCAGAAACGGGTGGTTGTTGCACAAGGGGCTGCGGTATTTATAGGATGCAGTAGCCATGCTACCGCATACCTATGAACATTCACGGCTCCCCCCTTCATCCGGGATCGTCGCACTTGGTGTGATCACTGATTGATGGCCGACATTCGAGTTGATAATTGCTGCAATTTCATCACGCAGGTCGGATGTTGGCGTGATGATTGCTCGATCATCTGAAGCACCGACCCCGGTGTTGGGAAAATTGTTCACCTCGGCCCTCCCCGCATGGCTTGTTACTCCGCCTAGGCGAAGTTTTAGCACGGAGTATGGAATGAGAAGCTCGTTTCATTTTTCGATGAACTGGGGGCCCCGTCAGGCTAATAAAGCTCTTGTCCCGGCGATCTTGTCTCCTTCTTCAAGACGTTTGTATTTGCCTGCAAAGCAAAACCAAGTTCAACTTACTATCAATCTACATCACCAGCGATCACGCCTTCACACCATTTATTGGTCTAACCGATTTCATGTGAAGCATTACACTGAAACGGCCCAAACAGTGCCAGTTCGAGCAGGAATCCGAGACCTCAGGCTAATAAAACTCTTTTGTCAGCGATCGTGTCTACTTTATCAAGTGCCATTAGTTTCAACATTTACCCGTCACACAGGCCTTTTCTGCCAAAATTGCTACAAGATATTTAGGCAACGCATGACTCTTTGCAGACATAGATGCATGCAGGCGTGTTTTCAGTCAGAGACTGCTATCCAGATCCATATTAAATTTGTATCGCACTGCATGCCAACTCCTCTACCATTAGAACCTTAATAGCCTATTCAAAGAAAGACGGGCTACTAGTTTTAGCAAGTTCAGTATTAAAAGATTTTTAAGACCGCCAAATGTCCACCCAACTAGTATCACATCTGTCCGTTTATTAGTATTTCTTATCAACTACTCTGTATGGTCTTGATCCAGTGCAAAATTTCTTCCGAAGACAAACAGACTGGCGTTTAAAATCCATAACGGCATGTGCGACGTCAGGTCGGGTTCATAATTGTCATTGAATTGGAAACCATTTCAAAACCGAATTCTGCCAAAAATTCCTCAAGCAAATACTTGAAGAACATGTAAGGTACCTACAGTTTGGCAGTAATAATAGTGACTTTGTTGAGTCTATCTGGGAATATATTTCAATTCAGAAGCGTTCTACGTAAACGGTAGATTTATATGTTTATGGTTAATGTCAGCGACCGAATGAAATTGCGCCCCAAAAGCGGCGTGAATGAAGTAGCAGGGATAATGCTGAAAATGATTTGGAAGTATAGCTTAACGTCATAAGATTCCCTAACTAATGCATGCATTGACCCAACTTATAATCCACAGAGCTGCTAAGCATACCCACAGAAGCTCCTTCAACCGCAACTAAGCAATAGGGGAAGGTCTGATGCCTCTTTAATAATCGAAATCAGAATCCTGTCCGTTCTTGAGCAGTGTGAGTATTTCAAACGACCTATGTGTTTCTCAGTGAGATGCAGTTGCCATGCAAATGAACGCCTGTGGAAATTCACAACTCATCCCGTCAACTGAAAATTATTGCACCGTCGAAGATTATGCTACTTGAAAGCGACAAACCTACCTCATTATCGTTGATAACGACCCAGATGTCCTTTCGCCATTGAGCAACACAGTCCTTATCGTCCTCTGCAAACCTCTGCGGGGACGATGGCTATTCTCTCTTTCGATACGGTCACTGATCTGAGCACTGTGGGGGCCCCTTCAACGACCGGGAAC